CCCTATGCTGTTGCTTGCAATTATCTCAACAAAAACATAACACTGATAAGGTATATAATTCCAAGATGATTGCATAAAAGTTGCTCCGCAGCTGGAAGTAGGCAATGAAAGACTTTCCCATTATTTCTTGAAGTGGAACAAGTTTGAAATCAGGTGCTAATCTGTTGTATGTACTTCTGGTATGAATAAGGAAGAACAAAGCAAGCAGTGCTGATTTGTTAGGCCTGTAAATCTGACTATTATATTCAATACAAGCCATCAACACAGAGCCTGAATTAATGAACAGAAAATTGGCCTGCCTAAAAGAAGAACAAATTGATCTGCATTATATTCCAAGGAAAACACAGTGAGATTTTGCTAGTCTGTAAGTCGTATTATCTCAGTCTTCAAAAGAATCAATGAATAATATTCTTGGACTTCTGCTTTGAAATGTGTGATTTGTTCCAGTGAAAGAGCATTTATTTAAATGGGACGTACCTCAATCAAAGACAAAAAGCATTGCAGCAATCTCTGTCTGTAATGAATTCTGTCCAGTGGGCTGATGAGAATTTGCAGTCTGATTTATAGCTGTCACCACAACTGATAAAGGTCACCACTGCATCTCATTTTTTATACCTGCCTTTCTTTGGGGTGAGTGTTCAGTGTAAATGATGCTGAAAATTGTAACTTTCAGGCATAAAGCCATTTATTCCATTATATAATGGATTTCTTCAACAGCAGAGTTCACATACTCAACTCCTCCCCCTCTTTCAACTTCCAGGAAATGGACTGGTTGGTAGAATATATTACACATCTGTTTGTAGACACAGATATGTAGTCACACTTGCAAAAGTGACTGATGACAAAAAGCAGTGTTTACTAGAAACAGCTGAACAGCCTTGGTGCTATTCCAAGACCGCAGGGAGGAATGGGAGTCTTGGCAAAAAAGTAAAAAGAAAACCAAAGCAAACTGATAAGCCAAATGTGTGAATGCAGGAAGCCCAAGACAGATGATATATGTTCAGCGTCACAGATTCCTAACTTCTCTGTACATATCTTTCTTAAATTCAGGCATGAAACACACACATTAAAACACAGATCTAGCTACAGGGAGTAGCTTGCAGTTGCTGAGCCACAGATTTGACAGAAGCAGCACATGCACCGGCTTTGCTCAGCCTGGCAGCTGCCTCCTCTCCTCTCATTTAGGGGGAAACCAGATAAAATTGCTGTGGTTTCTCTTAAGGGCACATTAGAGACTATAAACGGCCACAACTGGCTAGAAATTTTGCATGCTTCCACTTTGAGGTATGCAAGCCGGACAAACCCTTCACAAAGTTCGATCATCAGAAAAAGCATAGGCCTCTGAAAACCTGGCCCCCTTGGTGCTGACATGATGCTGAACTTGAACTGAGAGTCGTAACTCAGGAAAGGGATCATGAGGCCATCACTGAGAGTCCTCCCGTATCATCCGCTCAAAGTACTGTGGCAATCCAAAAGGCAACAAAAAGCTAGACAAAAAAAAACAAAAAGTTTGCAAGAGAGCAAAAGGTCATGCATTGTTTGCCAGGATATAAATCCATAGCACATGCCTTGAGCACTCTGTGTAGTTTTGGGTTCTGTATCAGAGATACAGGAGCAAAAACTAAAATAATTAAAGGAAAGGTGAAACTGTCTTAGGAGGAGAAATGGAAAAGATTGAGACGTGATACCACTGAGGAATACAAAATCATAAGGGTAGCAGATAAGCTGAATGGGGGACTGTTATTTATCATATCCTATAACACTAGAACTAGAACACTGAGGACTTCAGAACTCACTGAAGGTATTAAAAAGGAAAAAAAATTTTTTTTTTTTTTTAACACAACGGGCAGTAAGCTGCAAGAATTTGTTGGCGCAGGGAACAGATTTGATGTGAAGGTAGATGCTATCAGCAAGTTCAAAAAGGGAGTGCACAAATTCATGTACAAGAGGTTCCCCAGCAGATACTAAAGGAAAAAGGCAGGGATATACCCTCTGCCATGCCTAAGCCAGTGCTGCTCAGTGATGGACTACCGAAAGGAGAGCAGCTAGT